ACTTTTCCCAAATGTAAGTTATAATAAAAAGCTTATCTTAGGTCAGAGGCAAATTTTACTGCATTTTTGATAATAACCACTAGAAAATTCATGGTCTTGATATACTCTAGGGAGGAAAAGAGATGCTTATTGGTGATCCAGCATATCCACTGTTACCATGGTTGATGAAGAGGCATCCTAACGATGGCAATCTCAGTCCTGCTCAAAAGAAATTTAATTACAACATAAGTTGAGCAAGGCAAGTTGTGGATTGTGCATTTGGCTGTTTAAAAAGCAGATTCAGATGCCTACTTAACAAGAAGTATACAAATTTAGATCATTTGCCTATGAAAATTGCAGCATGTTGTGTTGTACACAATATTTGTGAGAGTAGAGCTGACAAACTTTTTGCAGATTATGTTGAAGTTATTCCTGATGATGAAATTTCAGAATTTGTTTCACAGAATACAGACACAAGTGCAGAGCAAATTAGAAATTCTTTAACTGAGTTTTTGATAAGACAATAAGCTGATGATAGATGAATTACTCATGTTTTTAAATTAAATCAAAGTTTGTAATATGTTTGTTGACTTTCAGCATCGTGGTGAACATTGTACAATGGTTGTTGCACAGGCTAAGACCTCATTGCTATGGCATTTGCAAGAAGTGACATTGACTCCTTATAAACATTAAGCTCTTCCTTTCGCAAATCTCGCTCTTTTTCTGCTTCTTTTTTCATTTCTGACAAAAACATTTCATCGGACTCCTTGAGATATTTGTTATGCTCTACTAGGTAGCATAAAAAATATTGTTATAGATTCATATCATGATTGAATAGATTCATATCATGAATCCCCATGGTATTCTTTTCCTTGGCACTGATTTGTTTTCATATTGAGATGGTAGGGATTCCTCATTTGCTTCACTAGGTAACTTCTCATCTGCGTTCCTGACATCTACATAACATATCTCATAAATAATACGACGTAATAAAACTAAATAAAGTACACACATGCAATGCTCTACTATTCACCTGCTTCAATGTAATCGCAATATGGGCAAACAAGTCTGTCATCATCAGCGTATACTGCAGTGCTGTTTCCAACATGGGCTCCTGCTGTCCTAAACTCCACAAACTCATCGCACTGAGGACATTTTTTTCATCGATCCTCCCGTGTCCGTATTTTCTTGTAAGCTCGTCTGCTATGAAACGCAAAACCAACATTTTCATTTGCAAAAAACCACTCGATATCAACTCATCCACGATAACTTACCATCATCATCATGCACGTTAATGCTTTTTATTTCAGCATCAGCTGATGAACACGTTGATTCATCAGATATATCGATGACGTTTTTTGGACCCCTTGCTTCTGGTCTGTCACCCAAGAAACTGTCCATAACGTTAAAGAATTTGGGTTCTTTGCCTCTCCCAGCTCCTGATCGGGATAATGTGTCTTTGAACTTTTTGTATTCAGATTTCATATGCTTAAATTTAGTTCTACATTGCGTCCAATCACGATCTATCCCAATTTTTTCATTATAATGCTGATTTTTTTATAAATATCAGCGTTTTTGTGGGTACCTTTCAACTTTTCTTCTGTACCGTACGCTGAGAAGAGGGCTAAACAGTCTTTTTCTGACCAAACCTCTCGTTTTTGCGCCATTTTCCAAGCTTTTTTCTCTGTTTTGATTTTAAATTTTGAGAAAAATATTTGCGTTTTTGTGGAAAAGGCATGGGAGCGAAACTGTTCTATCTTAATAAGCTCACTTACGTTCACATATAAACCGGATCGATCTCAAATTTTAGCGAAGGTTCACACTTAGCTCGCTTTACGTTAGATCGATCTCAGATCGATCTAAACGACCAGTGTGAACAAGTCCAAAAACAGCACAGAGATTTGAAGAGATTTCCTGCTGTGGGACCTACCAAATAATGCATATAACAAGATTTTTTGCACAATATATTTGATTGGTGGCATGATAAGAACTCACTTTTAACAGATGAATGAGAATCTTGATCTTCGAATCCATTTACACTCCTTACTAGTAACACTATCCTCTCCACTAGAAGTAAGCAGATCATCAAGAGAATACAAAGCAGATGATACATGCTTACATCCACCATCTCACCACCAAGACAACAGCAATACGCATCAAGCACACTGCCGCGATTAGACCCGTTTCTTTCCAATATAAACCATATATCGTAAACGTCTTTACCATCTTTAGTCATTTCTTTCATTGTAGGCTTAACCTTGCCTATATAAACATGGACCCCAGCATCTTGCCTGTATGCTGTTAGCAAAGACTTAACATATCCATCGTAAAACAAACGATAGTTCTCGAACGACTTGTAGGCTGCAAGACCCTGCTTGTCGTATTCCGATGAATGATATATAAGATGATTAAATATATCAAACAAGCCGAACGGGGGTGAATTTTTGAAAAACATTTGAAACAATTGTAAATGGATCCGGCAGCTTAACGTCATGGATGGTCAAATGGCAACTTAAATTTACTTGCTGCTCGGCTTTACTGACTTGCGGGATCAATGGAATGTTCATTTTTTCCACTGCACATGCAATGGCTACTAGTCCCAAAATTCAGATAACTACTTACGGTTATACCTCTACTCTGCAGGTAACTTTTTAATTCTGGCAGTTTCATAGCTTTGAATTTCTCTTCACGTAATCTTTCTTCCATTTAAGCGCTTATATTTTGAAATAAAGAAATGTTAAAATTTATTTTGCAAGAGAGCGAAACATATTTCTATTTCATATAGCAAATTAGTCATTGTTATGACTTCCGCCATGTTTGTCCAAGTTTTTCACTTAGCGAGCACGTGTTTTTATTCAAATAAAACCGCCAAAGTGGTGTATTGCAAAAGAGTCGCTGCTCACGGAACCCATTCAAGTCAAAGTACTAGGAATGGTGTGGGATACGTGTTGATGTTAAGCAAAATTGTTCGGTTTGAGCAAACATTTATTTAATGTAGTGAGCTAATTAAATAAGAAGATTCAATACAAAACTATAATCGTAACTAACTCAGAGGAATGTTAATAGTTTATATATACAAAAATATCACGTGACTAAATAAACTGAACTATATATGTGAATACGAACTAGCGTTCTATTTTTCGTATAGTGATGCAGTATAATCTTTAACAATACGGTGGAGGACACATTTCTATTCAATTTGACTGAAATAATCGAGTACGCCAATTCATTACCTGTCACAAAGCGATCGTTGTTGAAATAGTCATCTAAAATTCTTGTCTCCTTTTACGATAAGGCTCAAGATTCTGTTTCAAATCATGTGCTTGGATAGACTGGGATGGGACTGAACGTTTTATTGTCAGAGTTAAGGTTTCTAAATGATGTTCGTGTACCGAGGTGCTATTATCTGCTCCAACCGAAATACTTTACTACACAAGTTCATGGATTCAGTGATGCATCTGAAAGTGCAATTGGTGCTGTTGTCTATGTAAGAACAGTCTATGAGAATGGTGACATCGACGTGAAATTATTCGCTTCAAAGACAAAGGTCGCACCAGTGAAAAAGCAAACGATTCCCCGTTTAGAGCTGGTGGCAGCGACTGTACTAGCGAAGTTAGTAGAGTCTTTGTTAAAGGCACTCAAATGGAGTCTGGAAGTTTTTTATTGGGTTGATTCGATGACAGCACTTTACTGGATACAAAACGATCGAGCATGGAAACCATTCGTGCAGCATCGAGTGAACAAGATTCGAAGTATTTACCCTCACGAGGTATTTCTGGGCAACTACTTTCGAATTCTTCCTTATGGTTCAATGGACCCAAATTCTTGGCAAGGGGCGAATAAGAGTGGCCAAAATTTCCAGTTGGCAACCTCTCACAAAATGAAGAAATTCTGAAGGAAATTGCGAAAGAGTATCCGAATGTCGTATGATCACTAGTTTCGAATGAAATCAAACAACGAGCCATGCCAGATCTTAACAAAGCAATCGACATTACTCGTTATAGCTCCATGAAGAAACTTCTTCGAACAACTGCTTATGTAATGAGATTCATCAACATGTTAAAGAAGATGCCACGGTGCGAGCGAACAACAAGCAAACTCACAACCTCAGAAGAACTAAGCTCAGACGAAATAAGGAAGGCGCAGCTGCTGTGGATAAGGTCTATTCAACAACTATCCTTTGAAAAGGAAATATTATTCCTTCTGTCAAAGAATGTGAATTCTTCAATACCAATTTACGTTAAGCAATTTGGGCTATTTCTCGACGGTGATCACGTGCTGCGGTGCCGTGTGAGACTGAAGAATTCATCGCTGAATCTGGAGAGCAAAAATTGCTACAAGGTGGCGATGGAATTACACGAGCTGCACAAGTCAGAGTCCTTCGTGGAGACTCTAGTCATTCACACTTGTTGCGACGTTCTATCAGGCAACTTATTCCAATTGAGGTTCATCAGGAAGAAGACAGTAACGAAAGAGTAGAGAACGATAAGAAAGGCGAAGAAGAACAAGTGCTTCGTCCAACTGATCGACTACATCGCAGCGCGGGAATAACAGGACAATTGCCAAGATTGCAGAATACAAACAAGCTCTAAACAACTGTACATTCTTAGCTAAAAATAGTTTTGTTTTTTTTCTTTTGTTTGTTGACAACATTTTATTATGTCAACCCTGGGGAGTGTAAGAAACATTAAACTACTAATTATAAATGCACAATAGAAAAGAAAAACATGTCAATCATACATATCGAAGGCGAAGACATCTTGTTGATTTGGTCAAAAATGATTTGTGAGTATATATTTCGAACGATCATTAAAATTTTCAATAATCATTTCACAAACCTTGAGTAAGAGATACGGGAGAGCCTTGTGACCATCTTTTGTAAGTACCACGACCTGAACTAGATACCTCTTTGCTCTTTTTACAGTTTGTTTCCTCTTCCAATTTTTCGTTTTTTTCGACGGTCTTGCTTGTGTTTGACTGCGATTTGCTGACAGGGATTGAGGATGATATCACTGACGTTTCCCGACGGACTATGACGTCCGGTGTGCTTTGAGGAATGAGATCAACGGACGAGGTTTCCTTTGGTGTCTCTTTCCTTAGTCTAGATGACGAGATGGATTGAACAGGTGGCAACTCTGAACTCTTGGGAGGCGGGGTACTCTGAACAGTACAATAAAAAAATTGACTTTGGCACTTTACAAAAATATTCATCTAAATGTATTCTTAAAACTGTTTTATATGTCCATAGAACAATCTAACAATGTGGAAAATCGATGATCGTATTTGAAATGTTATCATACTCTGTGATGAATGCATTATGCAAGTTTAAATATTCACACCAAACCGGTGCGTACCTTTTCTGTATGCAGATGTTTCATCATGGCCGACAATCTATCTCTTTCACGGTTTAACTGAAAAAGAACCTCAAAGAATTACGTTTAAGCACGTGCAACTGGTGTTGTGTCACTCAAGCTACTTTCCCGCAATTCACACCAAAAAAATGATTGGAAACATTTATATTAATTGTGTTTTAATTTAAATGCTAAAATTATATCACGTGTTACACTTACATATATTTTTATAATTATCATGTTCAACCTTAACTGTCAAATCATAACGAATTTATTTCAAGAGGAGTGATTATACGGCGTAAGTCTATGCAGTAATAAATAAAGCATAACAAAAACAATGCTAAAAACCAAAACTTTACCTCTTCCTTTAAATTCGAAACCACTAGCGTTTGAACCCTCGCTTGCACCGTGCTTCTATCGTCCAGCGGGTGCTCAGTGTTAAGATGACTGAAATAAACGAACGTTGCCAATCAGTCTTTATTCCAAAGCCATCATCAGAGAATATATATAGTATATTAATCGTAAAGGATTAATAGGTTAGATTTAATATGTCGCCTATCAGTGAACTGTGTCTTTCACGAGTAGAATTTGCACACCTATCAACTGCTAAAAAGATAACGGTCTACGCACATGTGAAGTATATTCAACATTTAAGTTGATTTAACCCAAGAAAGAGCCAGGGGCGAAACTAGAACGCTAATTGGGGGGTAAATAATCATATATTCAGCTCTACCCTGCTGATTCATTTTAAAATTAACATGGCAAACAAAATCAGCAGGGCAGAGCTGAATATATGAATACATACCCCCCAATTAACGTTATTGTTTCCCTCCTGAAAAGTGGACATTGAAAAGCCACATTCGAAACTTGCTTTTTTGATTTTCTGAAGACAGAAGGGTGGCGAGAATTCAAAAACAATAACGAATAAGCAGCATCTTGTTAGCCTGAGGGCGAGATCAAAACCAAAACAAAGTTTGTCCACGTACGCTGAATAGCAATTGTAATGGCTCTTAACAATACAGGCCTTTAGGTAATAAAATGCAGTGGATAGTACATGCATAACTCTTCAGTAGAAGTTACTTTCGTCCGCTGTTGTGTATTTATTAATAATTTTTCAATATTTTCAAATTTTATTCAAATGCCCTCGCACTTCAGCTATTAACTAAGAAAAAGAAAAATAAACAGGTGAAAATTACGTTGAACTTACTGCATGAAAAGTTGAAAGTTGTCGCAGAATGCATCACATCCCGTCCATTGGCAAATACCATGACGATAAAGAGGATGCTGACATTCTGCAAATGTAAATGTCAAAACAGATAAAAGTTTCGTTATAAAAACTGATATCAGTCAAGATAGAAAGTGAACACATCGACATCTATACCAGTGTTGGATCAGCAAGCATGACTGGATGTTTTGACCTCCGCATACAATACACATTTACGATAGAATTAAAAAAATGCATTATCATGAATAGATAATTGGTAAATTAGGTGCTCGACTAAAACACCAAGTCGCAAAGAACAACTCATAAAGATAACTGTCGAGATTTTTGCCATAAATACCACAAACTGCATTACCGATGCCATTGAGAACAGGTAGATCTAATCTTTGACCGTGGATTGATTGCCAATCTCTTGCGGGAATCTATACGAAAAAAATATACAAAACTTTAACGGAAAAAATTTTCAGCATAAAGTTTATGTAAAAACAGTATACATAACGTGGAAGGGGGAGTGCATGAATGAAATGGTTGAGAGCGTTGAGAGTAAAGCTTAGTCAATTGATATGTTGACATTGTATTTTGCTCATCGTATTCATCAATTTTATGTATTATATGGCAAGCATCACTTCCGTTAAAATAGAGTGATTTGATTGGCTAAGAAACATTATTGCCGGTTCATTACATTTCCGTAATAGACAGGTGGTCCATAGCTAATACACGTAATTTTTAGGAAAGGTAAACAAATTTCCTAAAGCAAACAGTAAGTTGTGTTAAACTTAAAAATCAAAATAAACAACGGATTCAGAAGAATAATACTCGAAATGTGAGTTCTTTTTTTTGAACAACGCATTTTCAGACGATTTATATCCTACTGACAAAACTCGAGTGGAGAAAGCCATTCCTTGAAAAACAACGAGGACGATAAAAGAATAGAAATTTATTTTTCAGGTACAAAATGACATGTATTAAACTTTTACGCTTGCTCGGTCTTTACTAAGAAATATTGCATCTCTGTTTTGTAGTACAAACCTCGATTTAAGGCTCGATGTGTACAAAATAACCTCTATACAATATTTCTCTGCATAGACCTTGCGAGTCGCGCTAGGTTAATAAGGGCGTAATAATATTACTCAGCTCATCATTATTTTTCCTTTCCAAAAATAGTTTTATTTTTTCAGTAAAAGTAGCTCGTCCCTTTCATATGTCCTCAAAAAACCTTTGAAAAGCCTTTGCACCTGCATCCTGGATAAGCTAATGGATTTCACCAAAAATTATTGCAGTCTGTTTTGAAACTGAGTTGCGGTACGTGAAACCTTTGAACTTGTAAAAGTAGAAGTTGCAAAAAAGCTGCAGGTAAACGGTTACCACTCTTGAGGAAGGTTTCCCTTGAATGACAATTGTGAGGAAGGTTCAAAGTTCAGCACCTCGATAAATAATCTGATTGGACTATTTACTGACAGGTTTAATAGCAAAGGTTTGAAAACCTATCCAGCTCTTGAAGAAGTTGTACTTGACGGGAAATATAACTGAGGCACAAGAGACGTTACCCAAGAAGTATAATTTGCATTCTGAATCATTACGCAAAGAATTGAAACAGTTCTATAACAAATTTTCACTCTTTCTCTATGTTTGTGAAGTCAGAAATAAACTCTGTGTAAAGGCGGATCTCCACTAGACGATTTTTATGACGATCGTCTTAAAAATTCGCTGCGCCACATGCGCAGTAGGAAATAAAATCGTCAACAAAATCGTCAACAAAATCGTCAAAGACGATTGCAAATTGCAATGTGAAATTGAGAAAATGGCGGATGTGAATCAAACTTTAATGCATTATTTACTTCTTCGAAGGCATTTGATTTTACTGCATGCATGTAGAGTAAGATCCATGAAAACAAAGCGAAAACGACCAAGATTTTGGATGCGTAAACTGTACGAGGAAAGAAATGAGAAAGGAGAGTACAATTTGCTGGTTAAAGACTTGCGATTATACGATCATGAAATGTTTTTCAGATATTTCAGGATGTTACCTGACACTTTTGAGACCTTGTTGGGGTATATTGCCCCGATGATAAGAAAGAAAGAGACGAAAATGCGAGAACCAATAAGTGTAGATCAAAGACTTTTAGTCACTCTGCGATATTTGGCAACTGGGGATGCTCATACAACTATCGCTGCCAATTATAGAATGAGCTCAACGACTGTTGGTCGAATTATCTACGAAACATGCAACGCACTTTGGGACAAACTAAAGGAAATGGGTTTCATGAAAACACCTTGCACTGAAAGTGACTGGAAAAAAAGTATCTAAAGATTTTGAAGATCGATGGAACTTTCCTAATATGCTGGGAGCAATTGATGGAAAGCATGTGCAGATGTTTGCTCCTGCTGGACAGGCATCGAGTTTTTTTAATTACAAAAAGACTCATAGCATTGTTTTGTTGGGAGTTAGTGATGCAAATTATAAATTCACACTGGTTGATATTGGTGATAGTGGGCGGCAAAGTGATGGCAGCGTGTATGCCAACAGCAATCTTGGCTATGCTATTGAAAACAAGCTTCTCAACATGCCCACAGATGGCAAGATTACCCATTCAACGAAAGTACTACCCCACGTATTTGTAGGGGATGATGCATTTGGCCTAAAACGCCACATGATAAAGCCCTATCCTTTTTTCAAACCTGTCTGAGAGGAAACTAATTTTCAATTACAGGCTAAGCAGAGCCAGACGTGTCATTGAAAATGCTTTTGGTATATGTGCTAGTCGGTTTCGTGTGTTTCATAGGCCTATAGTTGCCAAAGTTGATAATGTGATTGCCATAACTAAAGCTGTTGTGGCATTGCATAACTTCCTTATGAGCATAAATGAAGATGACGATTCAAATCTATACTGCCCGCCATCATTTGCTGATCAAGATGGGCAAATGGGTAATGAGTTTAACCCTGGTGAGTGGCGACAAGATGCAAATTGTATGAATGGATTGGGTGACATTACAGATGTTGGTGCGTCAAAATAACTATGGTGCAGAAGCTAAGTGGGTTCGTGAACAATTTGCTGATTATTTTAATTATGAAGGAGCAGTTGACTGTCAGTGGCATATAGTAAGGTGTTCAAAATAAACAAATTTAAAGCTATTTATATTCAATATGAGCATTAGTGATATGATGGGTTTTCATACGAAAGGAGTTTTTCACTTATGTAATTAGCAATACATGTTTAAGCTGTAATTTTAAATGATTTCACTTGCTACATATCTATATTTATTGGAAGGAATGTATCTTGTATAAATGAGATTATGTTATTAATTTTTTGATGCGATCTGTGAAGTTCTACAACAAATTTTTTTAGTTATCTGAATATTGTAAATCATACAAAAGCTGTTGAATTTTTAATTTAGCTTGTCTGAGTTGCTTTTTTTCCATATCTCTTAAAACTGGAACAAGACTCATACAAAATAACTCTGCTTCATCCTTATCTTCATTTTCTCTTCTACCTGACAATCCTTCTAAATAATTTACCATTTTCTGGTCCATACTCTTCACATGGTCAAGAAATGGGTCTAGTTGATCGTTAGAATTAGGACGTTTTCTTTTACCATATTTTGCCTCATCTGATACGCTTGAACAGCTTGAAGAAGGCTGACTAGGTCCTGGAGATTGTGATGAGGATATGTCCAATATGTTCTCTGGTATTGTTTGGATTTCAAGATCCACATTGCTGTGAGTTTCCAAATTGCTTGTTTTCTCATGAAGAAATCTCATAACCTCAAAATATTTGCATGTTGGAAGTGTCGAAGCAGCTGCCCCAGATTTAGACAATGCTCGTCTCCTATCAAGGCATTTTTTTAGAGAATCTTTAAGGTTCTTAAAAATTTTCTGAAGGTATGGAACTGAAAAAAGGGCAAGAAACAAATTTTGTTAGAGTTGACATAAAATACGAAATAACACATATAGTCAAGGAGCACAGTCAAACGAAATGGTGAGACGAACACCCTTACGCAGAAACGTCGAGAAGTTTTCCTGTCCACTTTAGCATGTTTAACATGTTACATCACAATAACCAAACAACACAAGTGAAATTCTCAAGTTTCTTGAAGTCCTCCATTAATTTAGAACACTTACCTTCTCGCTGGAACATTCGAGACAAAGATTTCCATGCATTAAGTTTCATGGTCCTATTTTTGTAGTTTATATTGCTTGTATCCCACAAGCAACTATAGTCTCGAGAGCTTGCAAAACATTTCCTTATCGAGCTCTCCATCTTGCACCACATTTTGATCAACAAAATGTTGCACCACTGAGATATTCCTCAGAGATGCAAGTATTTGAATCTCTGACGGAATATTTTCTACAGGATTTGTACCGTTCAGTTGGAATTCGTTTTCTCCACTGGTGGCAGCCATTTTGATTTTAGAGAAATGGTAATTAGTTTCACGGAATGAAATTTCATTGGTTCAATTTACGACGATCGTCAAGCGCTCGACGAAAAGTAGAAACCGTTTCTACTTTTCGTCGAGCGCTTGACGATTTAGTTGACGATTTTTATTTCCTACTGCGCATGTGGCGCAGCGAATTTTTAAGACGATCGTCATAAAAATCGTCTAGTGGAGATCCGCCTTAATGTCATTGCATGTGCAGAGCTTTATGCAGAGCTTTATGCAAACTAGTTGTTGCTAGTTTGCTCTCCCACATCAAGTGAAGCTGAACGCAACTTTAGTAAGCTTTGTGGCTAAAAACGTGGTTTAGGAGTACCATGACATCCCCAATGTCAAATGCCTCAAAGATATGGTTTATTCATTAAGACATTGATGCAATTTGCATGACATTTGCTTGTAATGAACAGCGACAGAAACATTTTGGAAAATACTTGTAATTATTTGTAGAATGTAAAAAATGCCATTTGACTTAATCCATGATATTCCTATCTGTAGTACCATTTAAGATGGACTTTGCATAAAGTATAAAAAAGACTATAAAAAAATTGTCATTGAAATCGGCAAAAAATATTGTTATTCGTGGAGAACATGATCAAAAAATTTGGACACCCCTCAGTTTTAAAAGCTTCCACAGCCCCTGTAATACTGATTGCCTCTTTCATGACTTAGCTGTGTTACTTAACAATGAATAAACTAGCATGAGATAACCAATAATCTAATACAAAATAATACCAACGAAAGCCCAGTAATAACTTAAAAATATAGTTTGCAAATATACCACAGAAATGTGTTATAAGTTCACTCAGTTCAGTGAATTGTAATTTAAGTGCATTATAATTTATTATTAAATGTAATTACTTAATTATATTAAGTAATACCCTTTATCACAATATGACCCATAAGTAAGGCAAGTTATAAAGCGAGGAAGAAACTATATCAAATTTGCATAAGTTAGCAAACCACAACATTTGATAAATAAAACCCGAGGAAAATTATCAAGTAATTCTTTCAAAAATTCAGCCTTCTCACTAAACAAATAACTCTGCTTAAAAATATTGTGATACAGGTAGATTTTTTGTAGAAAACACATGGCAGTGTAAATTTACACATAACAGTGTAAATGTAGAAGGTGCAGTGTAGCCAGCACGTCTTATAACCTTTTGTCAATACATCGGTGTAATATACTATAGCCCATTCATTAGTAAACTTTACATCACAAGTTCTTCGGCAAATTAAATACAATTTCTTTCAAACCCACTCCTCCTGTTTCATTATTTTTGCAGATCAAAGCAAGCTTCAAACGTCCATTACATTTCTTGAAAAAAATTTAATCAAGGACTTAGATTAATGGCCGGTAGTTTGGCATCCAAAATGGTTCCCAGACTACATTTTTCGTCTTAAACTTATTCAAAAAATTATTTCGCGATGACAAATATTATAGCAAGAAGTAAAATTGACGCTAGAGAAACAAAAACCTCTCTTTCATGCGATGTACAGCGGAATTTCATACTTGACGCTGATTGGTTAGGATCGAGCCACAGGGTCTTGGCAACAATTGAGCCGGTGGTATCGATGAACGATGAAAATGACGATGAAGTTTATGTGCGTTAGAACGGCCACTGCAGCTAAGGGAATGATCGGAGCAGCATTGGTGATCTGAGGTATGTTGACTGCACGCGTAGTGCACGGGACGAAGACTACTGTCTCTAAACACAGAAAGAATTTATGTATAAAATGTTGTTTTAGTGACAACGAATGGGAAATTTTATTTTTAGTATTAATGTTTATTTTTATCCTCGTTCATTCGACCTTCTGAACGGATTCTCTCCAGTCTCAAGAATTGATAATTCATTAAGTCTTTTTAAACTTGAACATCGCTCGAGCGGAAAATGAAGTTTTTCCTAATTACATAACTTACTGTGATATATACGGTAAAGCAAAATATATAACTCCACAAGTTGTGCAACGAAAAATCAAATTTTCATTGCATCAAATAACCTTAAAACGTATCCAAGTTGAAGGAAGTATAATTTTCCCCGGTAACTTTAATCAAAGTGAAATTAAATACTCCAAGACCCGGGCTATCGACAATAGCGAAGATAAAGCGTTATCTTCACCAACAATGCAAAGATATTTGTGTTCATTTATTGGAATAAAAATTACTGCTTTTAGCAAACACATTTCTTACCTTTCTTGCTCTCTACTGAAGTGCTGTGAATAGTGAATATTAGCGTGAGTACGGTCATCATGACTGCAGGCACACGCTGATGGCCGAAACGTATTATTTGAGCTCTCAGATGTTGACGACGTGTTTGGTGCTTTATCATAGTTGTGCTTATGCATTATTTCTCGGAGGCTTGGTACCTCACCCCCACAATGGTTGCATTCTGTCTTCGTACGAGGATATTCCCGATCACCAGGAGCAATGGTGACAATCAGTGGTAAGGGACTCCTGTTTATTGCTCTTTCGCCAGCCATCTTGATAAATACAACATATTCAATATATGATGGGAATGTCATCTGCATTGAAAACTTTTAATTTTTCAATCACTATTACAAAGCTTTCATGAAAAGTTTTATATATTTCACTTAACCGTCAAAATCCTTGGTGAATGTAGGAAATTTTGACGGGATAAAATTTATCAAAATCATTAATGAGCTTTGGTCGAAGAACTGAAGACGGCAGAAACGTGAAATGTTGTTTCCGTTCAATATTTTTACTTTATAAATGATGTTGCTGAAACAATCTAGCACATGCAGCATTGGCTACTGAAATATATTAAAAATAGCACCCAACATAAAAGGGTTGTTGTGAAATGATGACACGTACTGCAATGGAAAAAATCGTCCTATGTCCATTCCGTTAAGTGTACAAAGGCAATCGGAAAAGAATTAAATTGAAACTACGTCATACCACTTTGAAATATTAACAACATTTCAACTCATTGCATAATCAAAAGTTCAAAACAAATCTAATCTTAAATAACTTTTGTTGAAGATTTCCAGAAATTATTATTTCCCGTATCCTAAACAGTCCTGTGTTTTCGTTCAAAGCAATATTCAACTTTCCCGATTCTGAAATTAATGGCGGGAATTCAAGAAAAAACTCGAAGCATCGACTTACACTTCGACTTCCTATGTCTGTGTCAGAGGCTAATATGGCAAGCCAAACCTACCAAAAGTGTATCGAGATTTATATGTCGTATTAGAATTACTATAAGTCTATTCGAGATTCGTAAAGCGGTACGAGTAGTGTATGACGAGATTTATATGACGAGTTGTTTTATAAACTGTGACGAGATTTATAAGACGAGTTTTATATGACGAGTTTCATATGACGAGATTTATAAGACGAGTTTTATATGACGAGTTTCATATGACGAGATTTATAGGACGAGTTTTATATGACGAGTTTCATATGACGAGTTTTATATGACGAGTTTCATATGACGAGTTTATATCGCGAGTTTTCCTCTAACAACATGAAGTATTGGGTTAAAGAACACGTGTTTGTTTCAAAAGCAGTTATTAATTATATGCAAAATTTCGGCGGGTTGGGAACTTTGTATTTTCTATCTATACTGTATCGCTCTCACCTAAATGACAGAAATGAGCAATAGAGAAATTATTCAGGAACTTCTTGGCAGAGTTACAGAGCTGTCTGAAAGAATATCACCTGACGTGGACAGTTCTGTAAGGTCAGAAGTGAGAACTATATTTGGACGGCATACGAATTTACCAAATGCTGAAACGAGTCGCCAGAGAGAATTAACGCATCACCCTAATCAAATGGCATCAACAGCCACAATAGAGAATCGCCTCCCAATTAGAAGGAATTCATCCACTGCATTTCAATCGAGGCGCTATTTTCCCGCAAGTAGACCTGCTGCAAGAAGCCGAACAAGGCGAACTCGTTCATCAACAGCAATTGATAACAGGCCATTTTTGAGAGATTTAATCCTATTAAGCGGCCCCAAAGATAATACAGTTCCACGGCAAGGCACTCGGCTGATGTTGGTAGAAAATGGACACATGATTTCAGGTTGTCGGTTTTCAAAAGATTTGTCAGCCGCTGCTGTCGAAACTAATATAATGATGGCCTTTGATGGAAAAATTCCGCATGGTACAGATATAGAACTGTTAACATCGGTACATTCCACTCTGGTTGCGCCAACATTAGCCCCTGGTCAGACATTGGATGGTGTTATCCTCCACAGATTATACGCACAAAAGCCAGTGTATGTACGACCTAGTGTTCAGCTGCTTAACATGGGAAATGCAACAAAGGTTGGAGAATTAGATTGCTACATGCTCATCATGTAAATAGTGTGCTTTTAAAAAACTGATATGTTGTTCATTTACAGGAACCAGGCAGCAATTCTAGTGAAGGTAAAATACATAGATTGGGTAAAAGCAAGGGATCTTTCCACATTTGTCATAAGAGAGGATCAAGTGATTGTACACTAAAATAATGTAAAAAGTATTTTTTTAAATTCAAACAAACTTTTTTTACAATTGTTTTTTTTTGTGACAGTAATATGTCGAGGTATATCATTTTATATTCTTTCTTTTAGCAAATCTATATAAATTTTCAGAATTAAGAAACTTAAGTCATGACTATTGTTCACCTTGATTAAATTATTCATATGAATTCAGATAAGACAGCTCTCATTTGGGCACTTAGCTTTTAAAATAGTTTAATTTAATTATTGTAGTCTGCATTCATTTTCACAAGATTTTAGTCACTCAGAATTTTTATTCTTTATAAGGTAAAGAAAAGCAATCGATTCAAATGAATATGCTTATAATGATATGCAAATTGTTATGCATTGCAATAGTTTTGCAAGAATTTGTTAAAAAATATGTTATATAGGAATAGATGAACCTTTGGATGATGATGATATAAGCATATCTGAAACCAGTGAAATTCATTCTGTGCCTACTACTGATATTGTGCCTGCAACTGATGGTGTGGCTGAAACTGATGGTGTGGTTGCAACTGATGGTGTGGCTGAAACTGATGGTGTGGTTGCAACTGATGGTGTGGCTGAAACTGGTTCACTGTCTGCAACTGGCTCCTCAACTCAAACTAGCACACTCCTTGAAACTGATGATCTTACTCTTTTGAACGAAGCAGGTTCTCATCTTATGGCCTTGTTCTAATTTAGATTATCAATTCATAGATCTTGGTAATATGATTTGAAAATACTGGTATATTGTCTTTGTCTGAATTGCAATTGAATTTTTTTCTGCAGGTGTTTTTTCCGCATTGATAGATACTCCATTCCTGTCTTTGCCAGCTGAGAACAGAGAAGTAAGAGCTGTTATTGTGCACAGAACTACAATACGTCAAGATGTCATAGCCATTTTTAATGATGCAGATGTGCTTAATTGTTTGGTTTGCCCCACCGTGATTGATTACAGTGGCAGGGAAGAAAAAGGGAAAGGAAAAGGAGTAATGCTGGATGTTTTGACACATTTTTGGCATGAGGTATACAACACCTACTGTTTCGGCTCCAGCGATAAGATTCCTATGATTAGGCACGACATGCAAAAATGATTGGCAGTCTATTGCTAGAGTTATTGTCTACGGTTACAACCTGCTGAAATACTTTCCTATGAAAATATCACCGGCACTGCTATGTACATGCTTATTCGGAGAGGACAATTTAAGTAGAGAGTTGTTGCTGAATTCCTTTCGTGACTACGTGACTCTTGAAGATCGCCGAGTTTTTGATAATTGCATGAACGAAAATTGTGACCTCGAAGACGAAGACATTCTTGACTTTCTCTCAATGTTCAAGTGTTTTAAACTTCCGACGAAAGATAACATCAAGGAGATTATGTTCGAGTTGGCTCACCAAGAACTTCTTCAAAAGCCACGGTACATAATTCACTGCTGGTCTCCAGTTTTAAGAATGCTCCAATACGATGACATTTTAAAACACAAGAAGACATTCTTCAACTTTATACCAGTAGGCAACCTACGGCCAAAAAATTAATAAAATTGATTAACGCCGAAACCGGAAATGAAATAGAGCGCCTTACAATAGATCATTTGAAAAGGTACATTCGGTCGTTAGAAGGTAAAGCTATCGAGAGATTTCTCCATTTCATCACTGGAAGCGACTGTATTACTTGCACATCGATAGAAGTAACTTTTTCAAATCTAAGTGGACTCCAAAGACGACCTATTGCTCATACATGTGGACCTTGTTTAGAAATTCCTACCACATATGAGAGCTATGGTGATCTTGCATCTGAGTTCAATAACTTATTGAAGGAAGGACAATCTTGGTCATTTGACATTGTATAAAATTACGTTAACAGTTCGTTTTTACATCTTGAACAATGCTTATAACTACGTTTGATTGAAATTTTATTAAAATCGTTCGACTTATAATTTGTACACTATTGATATGTACGGACGATCAGAGATATATCTACGATCCAACTGTACAAATTATGATGAAGTCGTTTAAAGGAACAAACTTATTTATTCTTTATTTTGTTTGGAAGCTTTACTTACAATAATCGCGATATGGTTAAATGTGATAGGACCTTATCGCACCCATTTTCATTTTAAGGTAGCTAGTAAATAATTGGTTAGCACTATTTTCCACCCAGCAAACCGCCCTTTACACAATCGGAAATAAATTAAAGATGGCGGCTAATGGGAAAGAACCAAAAGCTAAAAGGAAACCATGCATGCACTGGTGCTAGGTCGTTTTGAGATGGCGAGTAATTTTATATTTTTATAATACAGTTTTTAATATCAAAATATGAAAATATTTACAGATAAATGTTGCAGTATAAATTTTCATGCAACCACCTTAAGCTATAAACTTATAATCCAGGCTGGAAAATATGTCGTTTTCGACGATTGTGTAAAATATTACATAAAATATTATATTGTGTAAAATATTAGATTGTGTAAAATATTATATTGTGTAAAATATTATATTTCAAAGTAAAGGACGGTTTGCTGGGTGGAAAATAGTGCTAACCTAAATAATTAATGCACATTCACACGCGGTAACATTGCTGACATTGCTTCAAGTATATGATCGATGCATCCTCTATTTATATTTGTTATTTACCTCGATTTTTGATCATAAATTAGTTCAATCACTGAACATAAAATGTGTTGACAATATCAAGTGTTTGTATGAAGTGATTGATTCCATAATTGCCGTCATCGCTTAGGGGTTGACTTCACTACATAGAAGCTCCAGTTGTTCTTCCGTCAGCTGCAGTATGTTTTCAGGTACCACAACATAATTATCTGTATCGACGTCTGGAACTGGGCCATTTGAATCTAGACCATATTCTTCAAAGTTAACAATAGGAGATTCATCTGCAACAGGAATCATGTTCGTTTGCCAAAGTGTCATAGGGGTTTGGTGACCGGCAGTCCTTAGTCCATGATGGTTCCATTGCTCCCTGAATTCCGAAAGTGACGCACTTACACGTGGTTTGAAAACGAAGTGAAGGGCGAATAGATGATGCTCATTGAACGGATCTAACGTATAGAGCAGAAAGAACCCGGTTTACTTCTGCCCACAACCGTTCTATCCTTTGGTTATGCACACTTCGCCCGGCAATGAAACTACCTCTATTCTCACCACGACGTGATATCATTAGCCGTGCTACGTCAACGTTTTCGACACCTCGATCTCCACGAACCCTTGAAGGCAAACCGAATTCACCAATCCCTTTTGAAAAGATCAACTACTGTCTGAGCTCTATTATCAGCGCAGCACTCTAGGTAAATGACTGCCCGACTAAACCCGTCGATGCAACCATGGATAACGAATCGCCAGGATATAAGCTTATGGTTTGAGTCAATATGCCAAAGAAAATTCGGCCCGGGAACGTTATAAACCCGTCTACAAATCGCATACCTCCTTCGCATATTTCTTCCAATAGTATCGATTCTCCGAAGACTTTCTCTGACCCTTTCTCTTTGGACATAGATCTTTCTAGCCCTTAAACTACCCTGATATAACATTCTCCACTATATGGGGTAAGCCTTAAAATATCTCTATCTGCCCATCTAAACTCATCGGTGATGTCTGTGCTAGCCTCAACTATATATTTTCCATTTTTGATCTCACCTCTCTATATATCACAATCTCCATTGCTCTTGACGGAATGAAATAACTTCTCTTCTATTCTCAGGAGACGTGTAATCCAAGATCGCTCTTAGCCTGCGTATTTCCTCTTCTATTCCAACACTTAATCTTTCCAACAGCGAGACAAATGAGGGCTGAGGTGATAGTAAGTCTATCGTGTCGTCATATCTTTCATTGTTAACGGCCACGAGCATTGCTGTAACAATTGGAAGATTTCGTTCTAACTTGCATTTACAATGTTCCAAATCAAGAGTATCATTAAGTACTATAGCAATTTCTAAATGGCTAAACAATGCATCCAACATTTGGAAAAATTCAGTAAGTTCTTCATTTGCTTCGAAATAAGTTGCATTACTAGCGGACGCCATCTTGGGAAATCTCGTTACAGTTTGTAAACAACTCGTGACCTCTTATAAATCTCTTTACACTGTTACAGTTTATAAAAAAAACTCGTCTTATAAATCTCGTCTTATGAAACTCGTCATATAAAACTCGTCATATGAAACTCGTCATATAAAACTCGTCTTATAAATCTCGTCATATGAAACTCGTCATATAAAACTCGTCTTATAAACTCGTCATATGAAACTCGTCATATAAAACTCGTCATATGAAACTCGTCATATAAAACTCGTCATATGAAACTCGTCATATAAAACTCGTCATATAAATCTCGTCATACACAACTCAACAATAATAATATAGTTTTCACACCGCATTATAGTAGTCTCGAGTACCACTTTACGAATCTCGAATAGACTTATAGTAATTCTAATACGACTTATAAATCTCGATACACTTTTGGTAGGTTTGGCTTGCCATAGGCTAAAAAGGGGAAATCGTACACAGCATGAATGTACATGATTTATCTAACTGATATTATGTGTTCTTAGGAATAATAAAGCTAAAAACACACAAAAATTTCAACTTTCGACGACGCTGTCGAGTCGAAAACCGGCACTTGAGTTGTTCACCTTGCTAAAAGACAACAAAGGCGTATGCAAATTTCGTAACTTTATATTATTTGTTGGAAGGAAAATAAGCTTCGATATGTTGATTTTGCCAGAGCGCTTAGCTGCTGTTCAGAAGACAAAACAAGCAAATATTCCAAAGTTCAACGCAAAAGAAGCATCGACGCCACAAGGCCAAAGTCAAGGGAAGTTCAGCAGTACTTTCAAAGAAAATTTAAAAACAAAAGCGATTTGTTTCAAGCTGAACTCACAAACACAAGTGAGACTTCTTCGAGAAAACACTTTGTTCAGAGAGGACAACATTCGGCCATGATTTAAACAGGCCAACAAAACATGAAAAATAAAAAAAATAAAAACTTACATGAAATATTAAAGCGCTGGAAATCTTTTTTCCAGCTGCAACATTTCACAAATAACAACAAGTAAAGAAAGACTTCGCTATTCACAACGACTTTAGTCGCAATAAACTATTTATCAAAAATCAAAACCGTTATCGTTTGTGCCGATGATAAATAGTCGCTTTCCTTGTAGGAGAGCGACCGGGGCGGATCCAGGATTTTTCAAACATCAGTCATAAAACGTCGGAGGCGCTCCGCACCTGGTGGGGGGGGGTCTGAGGCATTCTCCCCTGAGAAACTTTGAATTTCAGAGCCTTGAAAATGCCAATTTCACCGTTTTGGAGCAGTAAAAAATGCATTTTGTGGGAATCGTTTTTGCGCAAAAACAAAACACATTTTGCTTACGTTTTTTTCAAAAAAAATGAAGTGAACAATACTTGAATGTTTTGCCAAATGTTTAGGCTCATTATCATGCCAAATATATGGCTCATTAGCATGTCTAGAAACGTAAAATTTATTTTACAATAATGCTATTCAAAAACAGAGATAGTCTTTAAAAGTTTCTACCAAGTTGTCAGGCATTCAAACCTCTATGTAATGAGTTAAGTTAGAAATTTGGTACTACAAGTGACAGTTCATAGATATAGAAAAGCTCAGACTTCAAACCATGCAAGTTTATTGTAAACCTTTACCCATCTCCACATCAGTGCCAGCAAATTCACCTTTTGAGAAAAAACTCAAAATTTTTTTCTGCCAAAGATTAAGCAAAAATTATCAGAGTGAAAATTTGCAGTTAAGGACAGCTTAATGCCATAAATGTTTATTAGGCATTTCACTAAACTATTAACTAACTGTAACTATATGCAAGTGTGCTATATAGCAATCACTAGTAGCATTGTATTTGCAAATACAAGCAGAATGTAATCAACATGTCTTTAATTATGTAATTAAATGAATGTTAAAATTGGTTCATGTGTCATGCTTACTGGTTATGATAAATATCTTTTCATATGATCAAAGCTTGTTTAAATGTAAATCTGAAATAATTTAGTTTAGAAATTATAATGATCATCAGAAAAATTACCTAGTGATCATGAAAAATACTGTGCTGTTTCG